CCACTACTCGACCGCTTTACACAAGCCTCATAACTGCTGCCGACCTAGACTCTTGCGTTGAGTACGCAGGCGACATGATAGCGATTTTGACCATCTGCGCAAAGCCGGGTTTCATAAGATTGCAAAATGTGATGGGTCACATGACGTCGATGACCAACGCGAACAGGTTTAAAGGGAACTTTCTAAACGTCGTCATTCGACAATTACAGGCACCACATGTGACCTATGGTTTACGTTCTTACTTTAAAACAAGCGCTGCCATGAAAATACGGGCTAAACGATAGGTTGGCTGAAGAAGGCAGACGACAAACTTAACAAGTTGAACAGACTGTTCGTTATCACGACGAAAGCCTTCGAATAAAATCACGTAATCGTGCAATGGATAATGACAACACAAGGACTGATTTGTCCTCAACCAGATAGAAGATATCCAATAGAAACCCCGTCGTGAAGAAATCGAGACGTGAAACGATCATGGTGGTAAAGCAGTAAAGCAAAGATGGTGATTATCTCGCTGCTGTTCTTGTCACCTGTAATTAAGGCCGACAAAGCTTGAACAGCAAAGTCGCTCTAATTTGTGATGTCTAGCCGTTATAAATCGTGTCTCATATTAATTCATTAAACAACATTAACAACCTGTACCAAAAATTATATTCACTCGTCTCAAGTAAGTCCATCTCAGCGATGTTTCAAAGTTGTGGCCATCCTCCAGGGCGTTAAAGGCCAGTCGACGGAGAACAGTACTTAACATACGAGAAAAAAAGTACACAAAGATGCATAAGAAAAGGTACGAACATCGTCTCTAAATATCCCAGAAGCCAGCACCGTTGATTCTGTAAGAAGCGTTGCTCACACCGTAAATCTACATTTCGAAGTCGGCTTTGACAAGCAAAAGCAAACTGTTGTAATGTCATTCAATTTCCGTACATTCCGCCGATTCTCCAGTTATGTCTAAACCATACGGACTTGCGAAACTTCACAAAGATGGCAATCCACTACGCATCATTATCCCACCTTACGGATTCATAACGCACGAACCAAATAAACAACTTGATATGAGTTTAAAATTCGCAGTAAAAGCGTTATCATTCCGGCTGAAAGATACCACTTCACTAATAACTGAAATTTAGGAGGCTGCTACCTACATCTCCAACCGTTTGAACATGGCGACTCCTGACGTCGCTGCCCTATTCGAAAATGTTTACGCCAACCTATTGCTTGCTATTTTTGCCTGAAACTGGATCGCCTTCTTAGTACCTAGGCAGTATGTAACTTAATCCAAGTGCCGGAC